GATCCCTGCTGCGATTAAGACTCCTGCCTTTAGTGAACCCTGGCATACCTCTGGACTTATTTTTCTCAAGTGCAAGAAGCTCCCCTGGCAACCAGGTGCCTTCGCCGTGCTGTTTCATTCATGTTGCAGCATTCCCCGAGGGAGTCCTCCTGGAAGGACGTCTGGACCTCTCGAAGTCCTGCTGACCTACCTCCGCCACGCTTGCTCTCCAACTGTGACCACCACACAGCACCTCCAGCATGGCCTGGAAGCAGTACCTGCCGGAGGTCACCAGCGGTCCAGCCGGCACCGTGCTGCGTGTGGGGAGCAACCCTTACCTGTAGTTCCCTTTCTTGGTCAGCAGCTCCTTGAACTGTCCCAGCGTCACCACCCGCCCTTTGACGAGGGTGCGGTAAGGGATCGGCTCTCCGCAGAAGTAGTAAGCGACCACAATGTTTTCGCACGGCTGGGATGCGCCACTGCCTGGTCTCTTCTGGGGCTTCAACCTGCCATGCAAAAACACAGGTGACCTGCTCAGTGCTAGCTCACAGCCCTCAATCTGGGCTCAGCACCATCGCCGGTGCTGGGTGCTGCTCGGGGTGTCGGGCCACCTCAGCGAGGGCTGCAGCTCAGGTTGCACCCGAGGTGACAGATGGGGAAACCGGCCTGTCCCTTCCAGCGTCTGGCACTGGCAGTGAAGGGAAGTGGTTGGTGGTAGGAAGGAAAAACGCATCAAGGGAGCCATTAGCCTCTTTGACAGTACATCCAGACCTGCTGGCCAGGGTGGGCAGGCTGGACAGCCTGTATCTGCATGCTGCCCAGGGCTCCTTGGCTGGAGATGCCAAACGCATGTCCAGGGCACTCAGGAAGTACTGTTTACTCAGACCACCACTCCCTTGGCGCGAGTCTGCACGCTGAGGCTGGCAGAAGAGCAAATGGCACTTGCAAAGCCTGGCTGAGAGCCGGACCACAGCTGCGAGGAGGGCACAGGTTCTAGCTTAACCATGTCGTGCTTAAGAGACCTGCCCTCCACAATAGGCTTTGAGAGGGGACGGCCCCTCCGGCAGCACCACCTGCCAGAGGAGCAATCAGTAAGCTTGGGGCAAGGTCGAGCACGGCAGGCTCACGGCAGCAAACCCATGTCACCATCGGCACCGCTCCCAGGCGTGGACAGACTAGCTGAGGCTGCCCTCAGCCCAGGCTGGCCGCTCGGCCCTCGGTAGGAGCAGCGTCTCAGCAACTGCTTGCAGGGGAACGAGGTGGGTTTGGTCTGCAGCAGAAGCCTTTGCGTCCCCTGGGATACAAAGCAAGGAAAGGGACTGCCATTCACGTGAAACAAGGCAACCGCTTCTTGGCAGCGCCCACAGATTTGCTCCCCGGGATACAGCCGTAACTGAGCCGGGAAGGCTCACGGCAGTGCCAAACTGAAGACCATAGAGCAAGCACCGCTCAGACTGCTCTGGATTGCTGCCACGGTGGCCAAAATAGCTCAGCACAGCTTTTCGTTGACCTACATTCGACGGGCTGCGCAGACAGGACCTTTTCTGCTCTCCAGGGACTCCTGCTTGCTGTGTAACGCAGGAGACCGCTCAGGTTTGGAGCAGAGAGGAAGGTATCCCCGTCTCCAGGCAGAGCAGCTGAGCGGCGGGACGTGTCCTGGAGGCGTCGCTGCCCGTCCCGTCCCGTCCACTCTGGGTGGCAAGGCCTGGTTAGACTTCTGCTGGCTAACAAACTCCCTGGCCGTTGTGTGTGTGGGATTTTGGAAGGCAGAGGCCATTCTCAAAACCACAGTGAACAGATTCAAAATCTCTTTCTGTTTTCTGTTTCCCTGACTCTTGGGATGCTTGGTCTAGTCTCTGCCTCCAGCCCACACACCGTGGCACCATGCTACGTGGGGCCATCATTAGGTTGGAAGTGTCAGCCCATGCCTAACCCCATTTTCAGAGGTAGACAAAAGTAGCAATAATAAAAATAATGCTACTTTGCACTTTGGTAGTGCCTTTCATCTGGGGTGCTGTAAATGCTGCACAAACATTTGAGCAGCCTACATAAATTCATAATTTGGCATGTGTGGTCTTAGCCAGAGGCAGCCTTCTCTTTCAAAATCACATAGAGCAAATTTGGCAGCTTTAAAAATTATTAAAAAAAGCATACTGGATAAAAAAGATGATTTTGTATTTATATGACTGGAAAGTTGCTATAAAAACAGAGCTTGCCAAGCACATGAGCTAATCGCTGTTTTGGAAATGACTGTGACCCTAACCTTTAAACATTGGCTCGCGGGCAGAGCACCTTTTTAACGGCATGCCCACATAAACATCGGCAACCAAGACCAGGGAAAAACCTTTCACTCTTTCTAAAGCCGCGAGAGGTCCCTAAGTTCAACCGAACAATGTTCCCGGTGCGTGCCGTGCCTGGGAGAGCTCTGCAGAAGATGCAGCATCCCAAGATGCGAGGGTCCGCTCCCGGTGCCAGAAGAGCTTTCAGAACCTCTCTCATCCCCAAATCAAAGCACAGGATGCCCTTTAGCTAGAAAAACATTAAGAAATTGAATCATCCCTGGAAAAAAAGTCATGCATTTAAAGGAAAAATGGGTCATAAATTCAGGCAAGTTCTGTGAACCCTATGTGCCAGAAGCTAATTGAAAGGGCTTGGAAAACCTCAGAGTCCCTAAGCTTCTCTTAATTCTGCTCAAAACAAGTCACAATTAAGAGACAGCTGCTCATGTGCCCAAAGGACCTAGCACAGAGCGTCCTGGGGACGCAACTACGCACCTTGTGCAGGGCATCGAAACACTTGCTCTGCTTTCCCACAGAGTTGTTGGGTGAGCAAGTCCTCATTCGCGTTAGGAGACGGAGAGACCTTGGTCTTTTCTGGGGTCGCAAATGCCCATCCACTACAACAAACGCCCTAAGTCCCCAAAACTGCGACAGTACCACCGCGGTAGAAGCGAGAGGAGGACTACTGCCAACGGCTTGGAGCCTTCCTCCTCCTGCAGCGTAATTAAATCAAGAAAGGCCGTTTCTGAACATGCTAAGACTAGCTGCTGTTTATCACCTTTCCCCCAGGCTCGGGAAGGGGCCATGGAGACTCTGTGCATTGTGGAAAGCACGCAAGGAGAAAGAACACTGGAAGTTTATCCA